CAGAAAAAAAAACGTGGCTGATTTATTCTGCTTACTTGCAACGGTTCATTAACTAAGAATAATTGTATAATCAAGTAGTATATACATGTACACAGAGTTTTTCTGTAACGTTATTACAATTTCAGGGTATACCACAGCAAAGTGTATATGATATTTATGTTTTAAAGACATTTGCAAACAGTCACTTTTCTCCATTTTTATTACTTCATACGGAAATATTATATTCATGCAAATATTCAGCTTAGACATTTTATACATACACACACACACACATATATATATATATATATCCAGGCAATTTTTTTTTGTTTGAACACAAAACTACAAAATGTGCTATCTTTGCTAAGTCCACCGTGAGGAATCAAGCCCTCGATTTTACTTACCCGTGACCGACCGGGTAATTGTCCAGGCAAAATAGATGGAAATTGAATATATATGTATATATATATTACACAACCTTTTGTGCATTTCAGTAAAATGCTTACACCAACAATAGCTTCACTTCAGATATTATTTTAGAATATGTGCGTAAAAAGATCTTTTTTAAGCTTTATGTTAAGTGGTTTTTGAGTGATATTAGGGTTCTTTGGATGTAATGCACATATTTAAGACTGTTTACCAGAACGGAAAGATATCTCAGGGATGACGGCTGTACAAGAAAGTGTATCTGTCTTTCAGATTTGACAGCCTACTTCGTGACAGGATGTTCTGTGATAGTCACCCTGATTCTGTCAAACGAACGTTCCTTTGCTTACCATCAGCGCCATCTCACTGCTTCCTGGGAATCAAACAGACATTACTGACACAGCTTTACAACACTTGCGTTACTCCGTGATGACTGGTTGATCGTGTCAATATCTAATGCATGTGTGGAGTATAGATGTAACGATTTACTAGCACCATTACTTGAAACCACTACGCTGACTTCCTGCTACACTTGTATTAGGTTTTAGAATTACTTATCTACTTTATTTAAATCGAAATATATTACAGGTTTCTGTGCGAACCATGCGTTAAGAACTGTAAACATTAGTGGTTAATTCGTACACATGAACATATCGAACACTGAAAGTCAGAAGGAAGCAGGTGAACTTAGTATATTACCACCATGAGAGATGTCCGACGGTATTCCTGGTCTGATAGACGAACATCAAGTCAATACAAGACTAAGAGTAAGAGGCTATCGTTTATATACTTCTTGTTTGATGTTCCCATGTTCACTAGGATAGTGAGGGTTTTTCAAACACCATTTGAAGTTCAGTCAGTCCAAGTTAAGGTTGGAAGTTTGATAACCTCAGTGAACCGTTCTCATTACTTCTTATTGTGTCCCAGCTTTATAATGCTATAGTAACGGTTGAAGTATTAAAAATGGTTTAGATAGCTGTTAAAAACTGTTAATATTCCGGTCAAGTGACGTTTATGAAGACCCATCTCAGTTATTTACAATACGTGAACGTTTCTGATGATTAATATGAAAATGTTCTCACGATTCACTGAGTTACTTTAAGTGCGGCTGTGTTCTAATTTCAAATATATATTTGTAACTTTTTTGTGTAGGTCGGGACTTTTACTGGATTAATCATTGTTTCATTTAAATCTACCTGTTGTATGTTTAGTATATGTTTATCGCCTGCTATTCTGTTTCAACTACTACACAGCATTATTAGACAAGTCAAGCTATTATTAACTGTTTGATTTTAATCTTTTAACCTTGAGATTCGTGAACATTCTAATATAATGAATTTTTTTTTTGGGGGGGGGGTGTATTTTGTATTTGAATGCAAGTAGTTTTAAAATGTAAAGGCAGTGCTGTGTATTTAAAGGAATTAAAATGTAACAATATATTGAATAACAATACGAACGAAATATATCTCTATACACAACATTAAATATCGTTTTAAACCGACACTCCTAAAATAGGAGGCTACGTTAGGATGGAAGTACAAAATACCACCCACCAATCAGGATTACTTCTGTTGCCCTACATAAATGACTTGCTTAGAATACTCACGTATAAGGTATAGATAGGTAAAGTTCTGAACGAATCTGACGGCCGTGCGGGGCATCTATATGACTACGAGGTTAAACCTAAATTGGTTAAACCTATTCCACAATACGTAATACCCACCAAAGATCTCTAGCACAAAAGACACTGAGCCGAAAGGCCTGATCAAAAATGACTAACCAATCAACTTATCTAGTAAAACACTTTCAAAACATGGGTATCGAGGACAAGTATTAAAACTCGGTGATATTGCTCAGAGGTTCTTATTCAACAGGTGCTCTAAGTATCTATAAACAACTGAAGAAATGCACACACAAAACCTTAACACATAAACACTGCTGTCTGAGATGGGGCTCTGAGGAATGACAGACCCATTCCCCAAGTAAATTTCCCTTTGCAATGCATAGTACTATCTACATCAACCCTTCTATTATGACGTCGTCCGTACTTCCTTACACTTAACTTCATTTGTGCATAGTTTAATGAAGCTTAAGAAGATTCCCTCGTACTCACGCACATTACTCCTTTAATTATATAAATGACTGATCACTACACCTACGTTCTAAACGAAACGATAGATATAAAACTAAGTTCAAATGCTGTTTTTTTACTTTTTCAGAAATATAGGAGAGCTTTTATAACATTGTATATTTATAAAAACACATTTATTTTCATATTTTTATTAACTGCGCAACTGGGAGTTTTCGTCTTCGTAGCTATAAGATGACACACATTTGAAATGTTGAACCACAGCATACTCTCAGAAAAACACAGCTGACCTTATCCTTTGGCCTACAAAGTAATATATTATCGGAATGAGCAGGTCGTTTAGTTATATAGCTGTTAAGACTGCCAGAATTGATGTTTCATCTACAGTAATTTATTTTCACTTAATCTGGGTTGTCCAACTAGCGGCTCCCATAAACATTCCGAGAAGCCCGCCAAACGTTAGTTTAAAAAAATCTGATAAATGAAGCTATAAATAGGACTTATTTTCACCGTACGTGATTTTGAGAATTAGTTTCTTAATATCTGTATTTATTGCGGTGTTACAACACCTATAAAACTTCCTTTTAACAAAACAGAAATCAATACTGCTCATAGAGTTCCACCTTACAACAAGAATAAACCAATCATTTTACGATTTACTTTGGTACAAAACAGGGAGAATTGGATGCAAAGTTATTTTGTCTTGTTATCAGTTAACTTGGGAATAGATATATTAATTAAATCACAGAATTATTAGATTAACTTAAAAAATTTAATATTTGATGATCTTAATGATTGTGAAATTATATTTAATAATAGTAATAATGAGCTTAAACTATTCCATGTGGATACTCGTAGCTCAAAGTTACCTTTTGATAAAAGAATGGTATTATTACCATTATTATTATTATTAATGAATCTATTGCGCTTCCTGAAACCTGGTTAGAATATTCTAATTCGTGTTTTATTATTCTGGTTACTGTTTCTATAATAATAATAATAACAATAAATGTAATAACTATGATGATATTTCAGTTTACGCGTTGAAAAATATAACCCTATATTTGTAAATATTGAAGAAATTGAATAATGTAATTATTGTATAATTACAATAAAAAATTAATGTTTTTCTTTAAAATGTCTCATTTGCTCTCCGAATAATGATGTCACATTATTCTTAAGTAGTTTACCTAATCATTTGCTTTCCTTATCAATTAGTTCTGACAACAATATTTTGATTGATGATGTTAACATGAATATAGATAAGAAAACTGTAAACTCCACTGATACCTGAATTTAACGTATGGATAAGGTTACTTTTCATGTATTAGTCAATCTACTGGAAATTTTTCTGCCTTGTATTGGTCGTATATTTGAAAAGAAAAAGATTTAAAACCACAACCAACAATTATTAAAACATATATTACTTATCATTTCCCTAAAGCATGGCAAATTAGTAATAATTATGTTGACTGTAAACAGTTTGTAATACCATCAGTATTAAGTATAGCTAACTATGAAATGCCAAAAATATAAGTATGAACATGTTAATAAATCACGAATAAGTACTTCTGAAGAATTCTTACCATATACGCTATTAATTTCACTGAAATTAGAAAGAGAAAAGTAAATATAAAGATATATATTACTAAAAAACTCAAACTGAAAATAGATTTCATGTGAAAATGATTCTAAGCCTAAATTGGATGTCATTAACGAAGTTAGTAACTAAAAATAAGTACCTTTGGAGTTAGCGGTATTATTGCAAGCAATGGAATCTTAATTCCGTGTAAATCTCGAACAGAAATAGTTAATGAGTTTAATATTTATTTTGTATCAGTTGGTAAAACTATGGAAAAAAATGTTAACTCAAAATCAAATAGTAATATCTACGTTTTAAGTACATAAAAATGAATCTTTTAACAAAATATGTTTTCTACAGCCTGTTACTAATACAGAAATCGAACGATTTATAAGTACTCTTAAGAATAATACTGTTCCGGAATTTAGCTAAATACATCCTCATGCACTGAAAGTATGCAATCATCTTATATTGAAACTATTAAAATATATTACTAACTTAAGTTTTAGTGAGAGTGTATTTCCAACGAAGCTAAAAACAACAGTAGTCATTCCAATTTATAAGACAGGTGAAAAGTTACAGATGCCTAACTGTCGTCCAATTTCGTTAATGACTTTTTTTTTTTCACAAATAATTGAAATATTTCCAATCAATTTTCTAATCAATTGTCTCCTAACATTTAATATTCGTTAATTTCCGAGAAAAAGTTTAATATTAGTATGGCTATTAGTAAATTAACTAATCCTATTTACGAGGGGTTTAATAGTAACCTTAATATATCAAGCGTTTTCTTAGGTTTGGTGTTCGAGGTATTGTTTTAAATTTGTTTACATATTACCTAACAAAAATGATTCGACGTGCATGAATCAAGGGTAAATATAGTCATTCAAAGACTTATAATTTCTGTATTTGGACTCACACTCTAAGAAAATTTACATAAACAGCGTGTGTACTATAAATGATCTAATATATTCTGATATAGTTATGTTTCCTGATGATGTAGCCTTAGTCTTTAAAAGTAATATATGGAATTAAGTATTCCAAAAAGCATGACAGAGAATAAGTACGGTAAATATAAGTTAGATAATAATCTCTTGATATTGGATATAGAAAAAAAGAAAATATATGACTCTTTCTATAACGATTTCGGATAATCGATTAACAAAATATTACTTGTTCATTCTAGTGATTGGAATAAAGGGTATTACATTTGTCTCATTTTAAGTGAAGTGAAGATAATAAAATATTTAAAGATTACAATAGATAATTTTCGTTATGTGGAATTATGTGTTAGCTGTAGGATTAGAAAATTACTACAGAGGTATTTAAACAGCCAGTATTTCGTCTTAACCTTTTTAAAGTTAATGTATTATGTATTTAATCAATCGATTTTGTTATATGATAGAAAAGGATGGTGGAATTACACTCAAATGATATTAAATTTTTGATTAAAGTTCAAAAAATTATTATATATATAACCGTCTCCAATGTCTCAGCGGTAAGGCTGAAGACTTATAACGCTAAAATCGGGTTTTGATACCCGTAGTGGATACAGCACAGATAGCCCATTGTGTAGCTTTGTGCTTAATTGCAAACAAACAAAGATATAAAACCATTTTAATCATCCTGTTCACCACCCCATAAATCTTCTTTTTTTTTTTATAGAGTATAAACTTACGACCAGCAGGCAGTTTTGATACAAAGTTCTACTTATTAATATACATGCACATTTGATTGTTTGTATTTAACTACAAAGATACATAATTGATTATCTGCACTTTGACCATAATGGGTATCGAAACCCGGTTTTTAAAAAAAAGCCATCAAGATTACCGATGAGACACTGGGTGGATGAGACGGCATTTGAATACTTCTTCATTTGTTGATCACAAATCCCTTACCAGATTTCGATCTGATAAATGGATTAAAATCCCATACATGCTCAAAAATATTGCTCAAGGAACTTCAATGTACTTTGGACCTAAAATGTTTTACTTGTTACCGATCTCATTGAAAATCGAAATAGTGAAAAGAAATAAAAATGAAATTGTAAAAAGGCTAACAATTGACTCAGCCTTCATTTGGTTAGAAACTTT